ATATCTACTGCGTGTGAAATGATAGTGAACGAGAACATGGCTCTCTGCTGACTTTGATGTTTGACAAGTACCATAACCAAGTACCGTACACATACTTAGATAACAGTGGTGGATCCACTGTTTTGGGATCAGTTTTCTCAAACTTTTGTGATTGTCAGTAATTACCTAGATCTGTTGCTTTTCTCTGGAGGCTTGTATTTCTTCACCTGAAAGACAAATTTGTAACTGAAAAATTAAGTGTATTTATGTATACATATCGCTAAGGAAGGATTAAATTTGTTTGTTTTCTAAATAACATACATTCGTTGGTAATGTGAAAGCAATTCTACTCGAAGTGTAATAACATACAAAATAAAATTTCTGTTTAGGTTGTTGATAGCTTTGTCCACGTCCAATATATTCTCATGATAGATTACCCAGGTTGGATTTCCTCTCACTCTGCAATTGTACTTCTGTTGGCATCTTATTTGAAATAGACATTTGTTAATGGACGGCCCTTCAATCTGTATTGTATATAGTTTGTAAAATTATTAATAACTTCATTGCATTGTTACAAAATATGATGTTCATAAAACGATTAGTTGTGATAACCGTGACTTTTAAAAGAATTTATATGTACCAGTATGGCCCAGGGGGAAATAGAGTGTTTGTGTTGTGAAGGGGTGTGTGTGTGTGTATGATAGAAGTATTTTATATACAACTTTGACACTTGTGTGGATTTTAATCTTTGCTGTATATTCAGAGTACTACATTCTTTTGATTGATTTCTAATAGTGCATTACATTTACTTATGATTTCAAGTGCGTACTTTGTCACCGAGTCTTTCAAATTCTCTGGTAGCACTTTTTCATTAAGTTTAGCTCCTCATTAGACTATGGAAGCCTTACTTGAAGGCATAATTTGCATAATTTGTAGTGTGATAAATCTTGTTAGTATAAAACGTCTCTCTCGTCATAATGTCAAGTTTTGCTCCATTACCAAATCAAATTACAAGTTTAGTTGTTTGCTTATAACTTTAATAGGGGGCCTGTCTTCAGTATCAATTCTTGTTTAGTGTAAGAAATTGGATTTCAACAAAAATCAGAATGAGAGATGTCTGTCGATATTAACTGGAAAATTATGATTGGACTGTGATTTTAGGGTCACTGGAGTAGGAGCAAGATGGAGGGGGGTATATTTAGAGATGTGTGTCAAAGACAATGTGTTTTTTCCTATGCACTCTTCAGTTTATGTATCTGTTTATAGTGACTGGTCTGTCAAACAATTTTCAACCTTGGATTGTTATTAATCTCTTCTCAGTTCACTTGCACATTGTCAGGCAAATTTTGGATAATTTTAATTAATTTCTAATTAAATCATCTGTAAGCAATTCTACATTTTCCACATTTCAGTCATTATTTTTGTTTATTTAATTTAATTACTGAGTCTGCATGTGTGTGGATGGCATCATGGATGTTATGTCACATTGGCCACCCGGTTTGCAGACAGTGTTGCAATGACAACCACGTGGGACTTGAACTCTAGACACTCAGCTTTCAACAATTGTCGTCTTCTGGCTTCTTGAATCTCTCATTTTGGATGTAGTTCTGGTCAGCCTTTTCTTTCTCCGCTGTAAATCTGTACTTAATAGAAACCAAATCTCACTCTGAAGTACCGATAGATGCTGTTTTTTCACATGTATTGATCCCCTTGGTAAAATTTTTCCAGAATTTATGATAAATTTTGGTAAAAAACTAGAATTATCTGCATTTCCATTTGCTAAATTAATGAAAATCAAAGACAGAAATAACAACTTTTGATACACTCAGAACTTGTTGCCTAATTAACCTATTTTGCCACCGTTCACAAAATAAACCTGCATAATAGTTTACTATTTTTCTTCACAAATCTGAAATTACATTTATTTGGTATCAAATTAACAAATAAATTTTAGTAAAATATAAGAAAATGAAACTCCCCAAGTTTAGTTCATGGAAGACTGAAAGCGTATGGATTCACACGTGTGCGTATGAATTGTTACCCCCTCCCCCTCCCCAAATTGCTAATCCCTTACAATGGCATAAATTTTCCCGCCAAAATGTTGGGCCTACATTCTGCACATTCTTGCGTTTTTTTTTTGTTTTTGTTTTTTTTTGGCCCCTTGCTGATTTTGTACCTACGTGACTTAATCAAACATGAAAAAAAATATGCAAGTTTTTTTTTTTCCCTGGTAAAGTGTGAATAATGTTGACTTTGGCATTTAAAAGTTTTGAAAGTCTTCATTGTCGGCATTACAAATGCTCTGCATTTGTCTTTCTGGCTCCACATTGTAATCAATCTCCTATGTCTGTGTTCTGTATATTTAATCAGAAAAATGACACTTGCCTCTATAATGTGACTCACTGCCAACGCATACAAACAGGAGTGCGCGTGTATTTATTCCTAGACAAGCAATAATACAATTGCAGAAGCGAGACACAGTAAATACCAATTCTTCTAATATTTTCAACATACGACTACTGTCGGCTATATTTCTTTCAAAATAAATACTGCAAGTTTTTACTTAACACGGAGCATGATTCTTGTAACTCAGGGAACAGTTGCCTTAGCAGCGGAAATCAAGAATTTTTTTTTTCCAATTGAAATATTTTTTGTTCTGTCAAGTCGGAGATGTCTTTATTTGTAGCTGTTACCCTCTTGCCCAAATACAGCTTGCGCATTATCGTTTATTTTAATTACAATTCGGCTGTTTGCCTTATTTGGTTGTTAAATAACTCTATAGTTCGGACATAAGTTATCATCCTAAAATCACGCCCTTTGACCCATTTGGCAATTATAACTCGATAATTGTATGTTTGAAAACTATTCTCAAATACCACTGATCCACTTGTTTCGAAAGCCTAGAAGGCTGATCGGGGAGCACAGCAGTGGGTTTCAGGCTTGAATCCACATCTAAAAAAAAAAAAAAAAATGTTTTTGCTTGTACTGAAACAGAACCAAAAATATGGATGAAATTTTTATTTGTTCCTGATCTGGATCATCTGTAGCTAGAAATTATTTTGTTATCAAAAACTAATGACCAAATAAAGAAAGAATTGATTATTAAGAGAATATAACCGTGGCAACTGCCAGAAAAAAAAAATAATAAAATCCGGACTTGAACTATTTGTAAATGTATACGTGATTAGATCACTGTGCTTAGCTGTAGCTTTGCGACCACAGTATATGATAATATTCCTGCTATCCAATACTGAGCTATGCCAACGTTGCCGTGAATGCTGTGGGGGGAATGCCTGCATCTTGCAGAAAGTTCCTGACATACTTGGTTGTTTGGCTCCCACTGTTCCATCAGAGTGTCAAAATGTCAATGAATCCGATGCAATGCACATGGAAATTTGTTGTTGTCAGTTACTTTCTATTCCCTTCTCCTTTCTGTATGTTGCCATGGTAATGTTTATCTGTAAACCATTTGCTTGTTAACCTGCTACATTCCAGCATATAAATCCCTGATTTCCAGCTGTCAATGAATATTTCCCTTCTCCGCCTGAGTAGCTCCTGTGATTTTCTGATTCCTTGCGGTTACGAAATCGTGGGAAGTAAACGTCAAGACGAATTATGTAAGCACAATTGCCTAATAGATTGGCTAGATTCCATAAAGACTCTTTAGTACTCTTGTTTAGTCTACAATGTCGACATATGCACAATATCTCCTTTAAACTATACTCCCCAGCTATTTGCCACCAGTGGATGTAAAATGATTCAATATATTCACATTTATCTATGTTGACGGTATGTTTGTACAAATACAAAAATAGTCTCCCTGCCTCTGTAGATGATAATTGTCTCTATTAACTAGTCTTCCTGCAATGTGATACCTACAGGATGTAATAACTTGAAGTTTCGCTTCATAGGCTTTCTCAATGCATTCTTATTAATATATATCGCTCATACTAAAATTAGAAAAAAAATTGCAAAGCCAGATACAAAATAAAGAGGAATTTATATAATTAGTCGGTCAAGAGTGGCACATAACATTTTCTTGTCAAAATTTGTTCACAGTACTCGTACAGTCTAACACATGGTTGAAATAAAATAGTCTGCCATATTGCATCATCAATTTTGACAACTAGAAGTTGACCTTTTCTGGAAATGAAACCTAATTTTGGAGCCAACAGACAAAATTTGAGTCAATTTTCAGTTTTTACTCAAACATTTTGGCTATTTTCGTTCCAATCTTCTGAAGGGAAGTGTAGACTTTAAATGAGACTATTTTGTCAATTGAGCTCAAAAGTTAACTTCTGTCACAATTCAGGACTTATAACTATAACAAATCTCTATTTGTTTCAAAATTATTCAAAAATTGTGGGGAAATACATGAAAATTGGTAAAATATTACACCAACATTTTGGCCGGGGAAATATTGTGGCACTCAGGGTTAAGGTATAAAAAAAAAAAGTTGTGCCCAAGTTTTTGGCGGGAAAATCTTTCTGCTTGAGTGGACATTCAAAGAATATGTTATAAATTAGGGCTATCAACTGTAATGCTTGAGATATTTTCTCAAATTCCTTCAGTTTTTTTTTCTGATAATATATTGACACTTAACACCTACTTCTTGGCAAATGCATGTACATGTATAAGTTTTGTTTACCTGAACTACATTTCCATGGATACAGCATCAGGATAGGAGAACCCAGTTTTGATATATATGGTTTCTATTGGTAAAAGCTAATGAAACAAGTACACTGTTGGCCAATCATGTCATGTCTGTATAGTTTAAAAAAAAAAAAAGAGAGAAATTTATTACTTCCTTTATATCACGAATGCATTCTGTGCCTAAATATTTGACTGTCTGTTCTTCTTCCTGTTGCACTATAGCAGTGTGTATTACTGTATTGGATGTCATAACTGTGTAGCAATCTGCTTCGGCTCTCTAGAAAAAAAAAGACATGCTCAACTATGTGTAGATCTTAAGACATTTATCTCGGCACATTTTAATAAGACTTTCTTCTTCGAACCACCAGGAGAAGCTGCCTTGAGAAGTACGGAGACGTCAAGGTCCGAATCTCCAAAAGATTTGCCATCAAAAATCAATAGGATCAGACGGAGTACAGAGCGCCGAGAACTATCACAGGCGTTGAAGTTTGATGAGAATCACATAGCATCAAAGCCTACCACGACCACTACCCGTTGTGCGGGAACGCAAACGTGAGTATGGATTGAGTACCGGCCGGTCTCGGTCTATGTTGAACTTTGAGCCTAAACTAGGGATGTGATATTAAATACATTTAAATTAATGCTTTTAAAGTATTTGACAAGAATTTCTTTCACTCTTATTTAATTGTTTTTGCCTTCCCTTGAGAGGACAGAGAACGAATCACATGTCATCATAAAACAAACATCAGTATATGTGAGATGCTTATAACTGACTGAAGTGAATAAATATGGCTGGTAATATAAAATTAAAGTGACACCATTACCGAAATATTTCACAGGCACCTCAAGTGACTTGCAATAAGGATTGTTTTGTCCTCCATTAATTGATAGTAGGTTCATTGTCCTCCAATTTAGTCTTATTCCTAGCCCATTAACGCTGTGGATGAATGATCAGGCCTTGTGATGGATGATTTGTATTGTATGTAGATTTTCTATATGCTACAAGACAGCTGATAACCATTGGACTCACTCCAAACAGTTTTGCCAATATCTTTGTGGTATTTTGCTTTTAAATATTTACTGCTAGGTTGGTGTTGTACTGGGCCTTGACATTGTTCTTGGATATTTATTGGTGTTTGTGTTGCTCATGATTAGAATTCCAGTATTTTCATGTCTGTATACAGCAACAGCTTTGTTGCATTTACAGGGCCTACCCCAAGGATGTATGTAAACAGTTCAAAATTTGACCCAGGATTTTATTTAATCAGTGAATTCTAGAAATTGAAAGCTGCAATGATGGTAACTTGAGGGCAGTCCTCCACCTACTGTACCTCAAAACTAGTCAACCATGAATATTCCCTTAAAAATTGAATTTGTACCTAAAAATTAATATTTTTCAAAAACAAACAAGAGTAGCATGCTGGTAATTTCATTCTTTGGGATTTAAATTCCTTGAGAATCAGTTTAATCCGCATGAAAAGATCAAGAATTAATTCCATAGATCTATATTGTAATTTTTATTTTTGGTTCATGAATATATAAACTACGTTATTATAAATCTAGTACCAAAAACAAAAGAATTTACTGTCTCAGTCTAAATTAATTCAAGAATATTGATATTACATTTAAACGCTTTCATATTGGTACATTGGACACTGCAGCGTGTATCACTAAACCAGAATCCTATCACTGAACATTTCAACAGTGAAAACAAGCTTTTGTTGCCAATTTTGAGTTTTATTTAAATTACACTGTAACCTCAATATAATGAACACCTTTATAATGAATTTCCTGATATAATGAACACATAACATGTTCCCCCGCTCACAACAAACCCAATGTATTATGTGCTTCATTATAGTGAACATTTCACTATAACAAACTAATTGTACGTTTCCAAAAGAGTTTGTTATAACGAGGCCACAGTGTATTACTATAAGCAGGAAAACTATGTATAATAATAAGTTTATGCAGTATGGGATAGTGTGGAATAGTATTACTTGTCAGAGCAATCCAGTATTAACTTATGCTCATGAGAAAAAATTTCTTCCATATTACTTTTCCGCAAACCCTTTCGGTCAAACAATTTTTTTATATATTTTTTTTCTCTTTGGTAATTTTGGACTAAATAAATATAATTTCCTATTGATCACAGATCTTTTTTAAAAAAAAAAAAATCAGGAAAAATCTTCATGTGAGTTTATTCTGTGAAAGATATCAAATGCTGACTTCGGCATTCATAATGTTGAACCATTGACAACGGCCTTGAAATCAAATGTATGGGAAAATCTAAAAACTCAATCAAACATTGTGAACTGTCCAACTACATGCAATCTGTCTAGAATTCTTCAATGCTTAAATTATGCCATAAAATGTTCAAAAGTCTCTGTTCCCATGACTTCAATGCGAGGCAAAGGCCACCTATCCTGTAATAGTGGTGGGAAAGATTGCGTGGTATGAAGGACATCTGTTCTTGGAATTTTGCGGCTTTGATAGGCCCATGTCTGTATTAGAGTTATCTCTTGCTTGTATCACCACTAGACCATGCAGTGTTTATCATTGTCAGTTCATGTTATCATAGAAAGATGGTCCCATTTGTCTATTGAAGTTGCAAAGTCCATCAACAGAACTGCTTGCTTTTCTTTTTCAAGATGCTGATGTGTTTGTTTCTGAGGATGGTATCATTAATGCTGGGAATGAGGGTGACAAGCAGGGGGATGTAGGATGCATTATACCGTACTCGACCACGTTAACGCCCATGTCCGGGCAAGCGCCCATCCCCCACTTTTGCGCAATTTTTATATTTGGGGTCACATTCGGCAAAGCGCCCACCCTTTCAAAATGCAACTAATTTAAAACTTAGTCTTGCGTAACGAATCTTGGTAATCGTTTTTATATGATACAGCGTGGATATCAATCGCTGTGAACATGTTGTGAATGCATAGAATAAGGTAACCGTACGTGTGTAAACTACGCTTCGACAGTGTCCTGTTAATAAAAGTAAAATGCGATAAATATTTCATGCCATATTTAGTTTACCTCAAAAATGGCTAGTTACTAGTTTTTTGGAAAAACCATGTCTTTTAGTCGCTGAAATCAATTCCAACAGATCGTACTTCAACATCGATAATTCACTTCCGCATTGCGTTACCGGAAAGTTTTCGGGAATTTCCAAAGAATTGCGTCAGTCAAAACACAGCATTCTGATTAGTTAATAACCAACTTGACCCATTAGGTCAAAAGACACTGCTGTAGGTCAAATCTGCAAATGCATCATGGTGGAAATAATATGACAATTTTGACTTTGACTGAGTTCCAACAGACTCAATTGTACGTAATTAATATTGTAATAAAATGTGCGTATTTTTTGTGATCATTTCGGTTTCTTCATTGTGAAAATCAATGACGACGCAACTAATTTAGTAATTTGATTTTCCCTCAAAGACGTAATTTGTCACTTGATGAATCAAAATTTTCATTTGCACTCTTTTTCGAGGGGGGTGCTCGAGTAAGCGCCCACCCCTAAAAAATCATGATTTTCTGAGTTGAGGCCCCTGGGCGCTAACGCGGTCAAGTACGATACATATATTCCTTTGGACTGCATTGTCGGCTTTTGCTGACCATTTTGTTTTAAATTAAAAAGGAAAAATGCATACAAAGTGCAAAAAGTTGCTGTGAAATTTTGGCACGAAAAACTAAAGCGTTGAAAGACGTTAATCCATAACATGGATAGATGACTCAAGACCATGCCACCAGCGACGATTTTGAGGGAATTTTTTGCTGTAAACTCGTTATTTGTACACTAGGTTTTATTGCCACTAATTTATACTAGAACATATTGTTTATTTATTGTTCATATAAATATCAAAATACTGATACTATTGAAAATTGATGCTTTACAGTATACATTGTATCATATCAGTACTTTATTTTTTCACAAAATTGTTTGCGAAATAAAGTTACAATGCATATAATGCAGTAATTCAAACACATTACATTGGTATTAAAGAGAATATCGAAATACTGTATATTATTTCAAATTGAGGTTTTACAGTATAAATGTATCATATCAGTATGCCAGTTTATCTGTAATACATTATTTTTCGCTGTTTTTAAAAAAAAAATTGAAAATAAGTTGCAGTGTATATAAGGCAATAATCGGTCACCACATTGGCATTAAAGAGATTCGGGTCTCGTATATTGTCTCCTATTCTAATGGATGAGGTATCTGTCACCTGTTGCTATGATGTCACTACACTGTCAACAACCTCTCTGCAAAAGACACATTATAAATTTTAATGGATACTTGTACTCTCATCAATCTCTGTCGCCAGGACTGTGGGAAGAAATTTGTTTCTGTTACCCAGAAAAAGTTCTTCAGATGCCAATGTGAAAGATATGTAGTGAACAACTGGTGGCTTTGTCCATTGTCCTGGCACAAGGTCAAAATTTATCTGGTGAGGTGTAAATGTATTCCAAGAGTAACAAGCAAACAAACTTCCTGGGAGCGCTGATGTGGCTCTTACTAGGATTGAAAAAAAATTTGAACTTTGTTCAGACGAGATGCGTTATAAGTTTTGACAGCCGTTGACGAATAAAAGCTGCCGACTGCTACTTAATGCTGATGAGATTGAAAGCTATTTTTACAGATAATTTTCTTATTGAACTCTCTAACTTGTTTGAAGTTTTAAAAATATTTGGTCAGATTGATCCTTTGAACCACATCAGGGGGAATTGCGTCAATATTGATCTTTTGAAGATGCCCAAAACACTGAGTAGCAATTGTGTGTGAACTATTAAGTGCCACAGTCGGCATGCCATATATGTTGCATGAGACCCATGTGAAATGTGACACAGCATGTAACTTTGTGTAAAACACTCTGTAAAGCGAATTTAAGAAAAGAAATGACTTATTGGTCATTAATCTTGTGTTGACGAAACAACCCCATGAAGTTGATGACTTGTTGGCAGCTGGTTTGGATGGCAATTCTCGTCCCCATTTACCGTTTATTGAGTAATAAAAATGAACTTTCATTGGTTTACATCAGAGGTGTATTGTTAAAGTAACACGTTGGTCACATTCTGTGCATTTTCTCTTGGGAGTTTGATGTTAAGGGGTCAACTTTTGATCTTTTGTAGACAATAAAATGCGAGACTGAACCATGAAACCCTACCGAGCTAGACTGCTCACTGTACAAATGTTGTCACAGCATTGCTGTAGTCATTATGACTTTCAAATGATCTGCTATTATACCATGATTGGACAAAATGGACACTTAACTTTCAGATTCATATTTACAATAGCGTTTGTGACAATTATGTAATCTTGCTAAAAATAAAACTGACTTAATTGAAGAGCATCATGCAACGTGTGAAATGGCTAAAATGTGGATGCGTATAGACGATAACGACAATTTCAACTTGACTGCATTGCTTTGAGGTGACTTTTTTTCCTGATTTGCTGCAAATCACAAGGACATTTTTTGTCTTACGGAAACCAAATTAAACTCCCCACCTTATAAAAATGTATCTTGCTATTTTATTTTTTGTAT